AATGTGCTTAATAGGACTGTATTGTGCTCGGGACTTCACTTAGCATACCAAGCATCTTATCTTAGTCATTCACAATCAGGTGAGTTCATACCCCTATATTTTCCGAGCTTTTTAATGTTTTAAGGGGGGAATACAAGTAAACGCACAAGTAATCTTGTGTTTAAAAATATAATTTGGTTTATTATATTTTCCTATCATTAGCACGTATCGAACATAGAACTTACTAAACATGATAAACATTGAACTCAGTTTTACAAAACATGTTAAGATACAAACGTTACAAGTACATTTTTAAAACAAGGAAACAAACTTAGGAATTTTGAAATAAGAGGTATTATTTTTATAAGGATTCATATTAATAACAAACAAAAGGGTTTTCATAGTATTATTCGTGAATTCGTTGAGAGAACTACAATGTGAGACACGTCTTCTGGTAAGTGTACCCCTTGTAACCAGAGTCTCCTGGAGGGAGAGCGTAAGTGTGTGTATAGATCTATACGGGAGTGACAATCCCGCACCCTGACTATTAGCTACAGTCAACCTAGGGTGACAAACGTCATTTAGTTCACGAAGTCCGAAGTACGTCGTAATGTTTATCGTCCATAGTATGGTTATAAGAACTCACATGGGAAACAACGACTCGTTCACGTAATAATATACCTAACACACATTCAACAGGGTTAGTAACTATGTGATGACTTAGTATGTACACTAGGGTAATATGAAATTTGTTGGGTTTTGGTATACTACAACATCCTATGGTGCACATACCAACCCTAAATACCTTGGATCGATGTTTTTCACTAATTTACATGAAAATGGTTTCCCAGGTATTAATCTTACAAATAGCATGCATTTACACATAAAATTATAATATACTAGTTAGCATGACATACTTTTGATGGAGCTTGAATCTTGGTGTTATTGGGCCTTAAAAGAGCTTAGCCCCAATAATGTGGAAGCCTCAAAATGGAATCACAAACACCCATGACAAAGGGATGAACTTGAGAGAGAATTCCATGCACACAAAAGACACCCAACTCTAAAAAAGATACAAGTGGCGATTTTGGGCAATGAAGTATCTATTTATATGTGGGATTTCTAGGGTCATGGATATAACCCAAATCCATACCCATGGGTTTTATGATCCATGGTTCATGTGGCCCAACTCTTTATGTATCCATACATAAACTTGGTCCAACATGGATCATAAGCCCAACACATATAAATATAAACTAATTATATAATAGTCCCCATAGATTTAATTAGTCTCTTTCGACCACTAAATTAATTCCAAATTAATTCTTGATCACTACTAATTAAAACATATGATTTATATTAATATATTATTACTTATAATATATATAAATAAACCATAAATAACCTTCTCTCAAAAGTCCATCCTAACAATTGTCCTGATGATATGCAACCCAAATGGACCATGCTACTCTCGGGTCGAATACATACCAATAATAGTTATGGGCTTAGACACCTAATCTAACAAAATTAACATCCGACATGCAGTGGGATGTGTGATCTCCGCCTCATTTCCTGTTCCTTGTTTGGTTGTGGGCTTAGGGCAGAATCGCCCAATCGACTGTCTGTTCGATCTAGATTTCTATAACTCGTATGTACTAAGTGATCACAGGAGGGTATTAACAACACTCCTAGTTTACAGAACATACTATACATTACTGGTGGTAGCCAGGGTTTTCAAACAGAACAATGCTTAAAAAACATAAGTATGGTAGATACTTGTACTTTTTGGTTTGGATCAGATAATTCAATAACTTACACTTAGGGAAAATATAGGATTTTCCAAGATAAACATCAGTACTTTACAAACAATGGGATTATTATTCAATTAACGAATATTCATTATTAATTCTATAATTCCTTAGTCTATGCAGTCGGGTTACGTATGAAGAATATCCGATAGACTGTGGAATGTCTGCTTTCCGCGTCATTCCCTGTTCCTTCTTTGGTTGTGGGTTTAGGGCAGATTCACACAATTAACTGTCTGTTCGATATTGGCTTATACATAACTAGTATGAACTAAGTAGTTATAGAAGGAATGGGTTTAATCATGCTTTTAATAAGAAAATATTGATTTTTCTTGAGGAACATTATCAACAGATATCAAAGGACCAATACAGTTAACTTTGTAAGTACTTAGTGAATACTTCAGGGTTATATACATGAAGATCCGACAACCAGTGGAATGTGTGGTCTCCGCCTCATTTCATGTTCCTTGTTTGGTTGTGGGCTTGGGGCAGAACCACACAATCGATTATTTGTTCGATCTGGATTGTATATGATTTGTACACACTAAGTACTCGCAGGAGGAACTAGTAAGAATCATTTTTACTTAATATTCATTACATAAGAAGATATAAGGTTTTCTGGAGAAACACAACGCACTTTTCGAAAGAACACATAACAGTTTTCTAAAACAAAACGCTTATGAACTCACCCAGCTTAATGCTGATACTCTTTCAAAACCTACTTGTATTCTCAGGACATTAGTAGACAGGTACACGTGCCAGATTCAAGAAGATGGAGCATGGTAGCTTCGAGTCTTTACTTGTTATTTACTTTTGGAGTCAAATGTGTATTATTCGAATGTAATGTAAACATTATACTATTAATACAATGGTTGTTGTTGCTTTGATTACTATTATTCAATTGTTGTGATACTATACATGACGTCCTCCGCCCCCGAACGTTTCCGCCATTCTGGTTTGGGGGTGTGACAAGTTTGTTGGATAGGGGAACCACTTTGGAGCAAATTCATAAACCACCCTGAGGTGATTCCATGTTTGGGTATTGGCGAGGGGTTGTATCTAACGCAAAAGCGTTATCGCGCTTGCAGTTTTGATGGTTTGGTGGGGTATTTTGATTTGAATCCATCGTATTTGGATTGTAAACAATACAAAGTTATGTATGTAAATAGAGAAAAAGAAGAATGGTGTGAAAATAAGGTTGTATATAGTGGTATTTATAGGTAAATGTTTGTTTAATTTTTTTTTTCAAAAATAGTCGTTTAATCGCTAGTCTTCGGTGGTAAAAAGGGTCAAAGAGTGAATTGCATTTGATTGGTTGTGGTTAATTGTCGTCAGCACAACAAATCACCACGACCAAGGGCCACAACGGACATCCGGGCTGGTGTTCGTGCTCGTGTTTCGTAGCCAGGTAGACCATGACGCTCGTCATTATAAGATACCGGAAGGTCTAAGAGACCACTGGAGAACTCCACTTGCTTTCTCTTACTCGCACCAAAACTAAGGCACCGTTTGATAGTTGTTGTCCGGGAATGTGTTGTCTAAGAAAGTTTTCTAACTGGGAAAGAAATCACGATGTTTGATTGTACATCTGACTGACTGTGTTGAATGATGAAAAATGACCATATTACATCGTTGATCAATACTATGATGGATGAAGTTGCTGAATAATTATAAAAACATATAAATTGTCATACAAAATCAAAATTACACAATAATCATTTAAAAATCTAAGTACAAATTGGAATACAAAGTAATTAAACATAAATCAATTAAAATCCAAATAGAATGTCGATTAGGTTGTTTTTAGTTTATTGTTTTTCAAGTTGATGTTACATTGTTATTCTTTCTAACCATTTTAGTTTTTTTTATAACCCAACGTGTGAATCTTGACCCGGTTTATATCCGATAATGGTAGGATGGATGAGATTTTTTTTAAATAAATTAGGATGATGGTGATGTTGTCCAAAAAAGGAATTAATCTAATAAAATGAATTAAAAAGAATTAACTAAAATAAGTTAATAATCCAATAAAATAATATTCATTAATATATAAATATTATATATTATAAATAACATTTATTAATATATAATAATCCAATAAAAAAATTATTTAAAAGAAATTAATAATCCAAAAAATAATCTATATATATATATATATATATATATATATATATATATATATTAAAAATAATATTTATTAATATATAATAATAAAGTGAAAAGTAATAATCAAATAAAAAACAAATTAAAAAATATATATTTAAAAAAAAATCCAAGAAAAAAAGATGCGATGTTTGGGGCATAATTATATTTCCGACTTATTCAGCCAGAAATATATGATTTTGGGGTTTTCTGGGCAAGACATATATTAGCAGGAAATACCCTTTTTTTTGTGCAAATCAAACAATCTTTTCGGTCCATTCAGCCAGAAAGATCTGTTTGGACATATAAAGATGTCTATCAAACGGGGCCTAACTGGAATTTTAGGTTACTTTCTTTATTTGTGTCTCTTTCTTTCTTTCTTTTTTTTCTTTATCTCTCTCTCTCTCTCTCTCTATATATATATATATATATATATATATATATATATATATATATATATATATATATATATGTGTGTGTGTGTATTTCCTTCTTCTAGTAAATAAAAAGAAATTCCCAGTTTCTTTTCAATTATTCAAGGTTTGAGCCTCAATAGAGAATCATAATGGGGAGTCAACATGAATGAAATATCCCAATCGCGGATAATAAATGGATGTATGTGAATGGAGAGTCAACTTTATAAGTTTTAATTAAATAAAATCGACCCCTGATGTCACATCATCCTCAACAATGACTGATAAATAAATTGATTTTGGTACTCATAAATTATGATCATATTCTTTGATTTTGGTTTTCATTTTCAAAAATCGATCGATTTTGGTTTCATTTGGGTTCCACATTTTGGTTTGTATTTGTATTTTAGATTTTGGTTTTCATTTGATTTGGTTATATGATTTTGGTTTATAGTATCAATTTTCCCGCAGATGTTGTGATATGTTGAGTGGTGGTGTTGAAGATGATGAAGATATAGTGGAAGAGAAAGGGAAAATGGAAAGAAGAGGGGTGGAAGGATGGTCGGGGTGTAGGGTTGATTGGTTGGAGGTGAAGGACTAAAAAAAGATGATGAAGGGGAATGGCGAGTTGGGTGATGGGAGCTACTTGTTGCATTCACTTATTTAAAATATTTATTTGACTAATTAAAAATATTTAGTAAGGATAATATAATTATTTTAGAAAAATTGTTTAGTAAAAATACTAAAATAGGATAATATAGTTATTTAAAAAAAATATAGGTACTGAACACGTAACTAACCAAATCCACCAGGACCATTATTGTAATTTACTTTGAATTTTATATTTTATTCGTAATTTAATAAATATTTTACAATGTCAGAAAGCCAGAAGGCCCAGAAACGCCACTTGCCCTTTTGACCAGTGGTTGCATCACAAAAAGCTCTCTATTGGTCTGTAATCGTGATAATCACGCACACCCACCTCTGACCTCTCTCACAAAATTATCACCGCCACCGTCCATCGCCACCATGGAAGAAAAAGAACACAAGCAAAACAAGAAAAAGAAGCAAAAACACCACCACTCAAACTCAGATTTCTCTTTTAAACCCTCTTCTCATGTCAAAGGTCTCCGTTTCGGCGGCCAATTCATAGTCAAATCCTTCACCGTCCGCCGTGCCAGACACCTCGAACTCCTCCGTCTCCTCTCCCTACCACCAATCACCACCCAACATAAACCGTCACCCACTTTCCTCTCCACCGCCGCTTTCCTCCCCTCAACCTTCACCATCTTAGCCCACCATGCCTGGCACACGCTCACCCTCGGCCTCGGCACCAAGAAGTCGAAGGTGGTCCTTTTTGTCTTCGAATCGGAAAACATGAAGGTGGCGGTGGACCGGATGTGGCCGGCGGAGATACCGTTAGGGGAAGTGAACCGGAAGCTGATCAAGGGTCTGGCCGGTTGTGAAATGGCCCGGTTCAAGTTCAGGAAAGGTTGCATAACCTTTTATGTGTATGCAGTGAGAAAAATTGGGAACAAGGGGTTTTCATGTGGTGATGATCTGAGGGTAATTTTGGAAATTGTGGTGTCTTTGAATGATTTTTTGGATCATACTGCAATGCTTGCTATGCCTAACCAAAGAAGCATTGGCTTTGCTCATCCTATTGCCATGGTTAATTCTGTTGCCATGGCTAATTAGTCATCTTACCCTTGTGTTTGTTATTTTATTTTTCAGTTTTTTTTATGTCACTGGAATTATTTTCTTCTGTTTTGGTAACACTGATTAATTTTTTATGGTAGATCTTGTATTTTCTACATTAATTTATTGAGAAATTAGGGTCATGTGGTAATGAGTGTTCGACAAACAAGTGAAATAGTCCAACATTGTAATTTAAAAAACTTAACATTTATATATATATATATATATATATATATATATATATATATATATATATATATATATATATGACTAAGTTATTTTGTTTCTTATATTTATTTTGTGTTAGAATGCACCGATAGGAATTTAATAAAATAAATAATTATTTAATTAAATAAGTATAGATATTAAATGATTTCCATAATTATATGTATATTAAATGATATCCATAATTATAATTCTCTTTTTATGGAAACTAATTAAATCCGTCATTAATGTCAGCAATAACATTCTTTCAGAATGAATTCGCATCTAGGTTTTTATATATGAGTTCATATTTTGTTTCAGGACTCACTCACTTAAAATACAATAAAGTTGTATAGAATATGAAGAACGAGAGTGTATTCTACTAGAATACACTCTCATTTTGCTGGAATACACTCTCATTCTTTTAGATATGAATTCATTCCGAAAGAATATTATTGTTGACATTAATGACGAATTTAATTAGTTTCCATAAAAATAAGTTATAAGTATGGATAACATTTAATATACATATAATTAATACTAAATTTTTATTGGTGCATTCTAGCACACAATAGATGTGAGAAACATTTGAACCTACCCTCTCTCTCTCTCTCTCTCTCTCTCTATATATATATATATATATATATATATATATATATATATATATATATATATATATATATATCTATATATATTATTAGATGTATACCCGCGCAAAGCGGCGGCGACAATTATTATTGTTTCCATGAATGATTTTTTTATTCAGAAAATGTTATGTAACTGTTTCAATAACAATAAATTTTCTGGCTGATATGTTAGAAAATTTTCATGCCCACGTTAAAAAAGAAAAGAAATTTAATTGATGTTTCCTTTCGTAAATATCTTTGTTGATTATTTTTTACCATAATTAGTTTTTGTTCATAAAAAAATGAGTGATTTGTACATAATAAATTTGTACATTAAGTTATTAAGCATGTACCTCTTAAATTTCAAGAAAAGTTAAATATGTTTTATAATATAGTTAAGATATATATATATATATATATATATATATATATATATATATATATATATATATATCTATATATATATATATATATATGATTACATTACTTTTTTAATAGTTGTCATAATGAAAATCAAACATACTCCAATTATTAAGTATGTTAATTCCTCAAGTATCTTTTAGATCCATTTTACATTCTTTCTTCTTTATTCCAAGAGTGAACTTAACAAAGAAGCATGTAAATAGTTGCTGTATTTGCTAAAAAAAATTGAGTTAAGAAAGCGGAAGTGTTGGTCAATAGATCATCATTAGTAAGTTTTCACTTTTCAGAATTAGCAAAATTGGGTAGAGTGAGGATGACATCACATGTTTTTAATAATTTATATCTATTATTAAATATAATTAAAAAATTATTTTATTATGATTAGTGAAACGATTTAGGATGTGATATCCTTTTGAATATGTATATCCATTTTTTTTTTAAAATTACAGGTTGTTTTGTGACATGACATTTATCTTTTTCGTTTTTTAGTTGACATGGAAATAAAAACAAACGATGTTGCCTCTTGTCTAAGGTAAAACGTGAGGAATAAATCATTTACTTAACAATCATTTACTCAAGCAAAAATAAATGACATTAGTTTTTTTTTTCATGTCAACCTAAACACGAACAAGATAAATGTCATGTCATAAAACAACTGATTACTTCTAAAAAATGATATTCGAGTAAATCTGAAAGATAACTGAAAATGTAAGGTTTTTTCTGTATATAAACAAAATGTAAGGGTTTTGTGGATATTGATAGATAAATGATTATGTTTTTCTACATTTTGTCCAAATAGTTACGGTGGCAATCCAAAATTATTTTGATTTTTTTTTTTATAAAAGTCGACACACAAGCTTCTAATCTATTATTAAACTACATCACTATTACAGACGATACTTGAATCTTCAACTACGTGAATGAGGGCACCATGTCAACACAATATATTGTTGGACCCACACCAAATTTTAACAACGTTTGATAGTTGTGAGGTTGGAATAATCAATACATAGCAAGGTTAAGTTTAAGTCTCTACATAACTAAGTGATATTCTAAAACTATAAGTTCTTCACTTCTCATCTCTAAATCTTCAATCTGAATAAATGCAAAAATAGTAGGTTATGTTTGGAAAGTATAGTGAGTATTCCCGAAGTCAATGCTTGAAGGTAATGCAAAAAGTCTACATTCCAAACATAAAGTCAAGCTCCCATAAAGGTTTTCAAATTAACAAAATGTTTGTATAATATCAATATTTGGATAAAAATCATTTCAAAGTACGCATTACTAAACAACATTAAACTCATCAATAATAATCAACAACATTAAAGAATGCAATGCAATTGACATGCACATGCTAATAATCACAATCTCATTATCAATATCGAAGTCCAAACATCTCTCAAGTCCTTTATCTCATTATAAAGGGACTCTCACGACAAGTTTACCGAGAAAAAAATGGCTATGAAGCATATGTGAAGAAATATCACAAAGCTCATTCCCTATATAGAGTCTCAAAGAAAACATTGTACTATGTATAAATGAACGATGACAAAAGTACACGTGAAGGGATTACAAGACCCAACCAGCACGTGAAAGTTTCACTAGAAACCATTCACAACTTTCGTACGTGGTGGTTTACTTGGAAACAATTCACAATCTTCCATAATGTTCATATTTGGATATCAAAGTCAATCTCAAGTGTTTGGACCATACAAGTCTCAATTTCCCATCCTAATATTGATGTATATGATCATCATTAAACTCATTTCAATATGAATAAAATTTTCCCCACTCCCAAAACACATTATGAAACATCATTTCATGAATGCAACAAATAATACTTACAATATTCACATATAATAGAAATATGATATCTTATAAAATGAATTTTAGATCACCAAAACATAAAAATAGAATAAGGACATGTATTCTTGGAGTAATAACCACCTTATCAAGTTGTAGATGTTTCAGTTCACTTCTAGTAGTGTTTAAATGACTAAATGTCAACTATACATCAAATTTTAACTAACTACATAACCACTTATTAATTTCTTATTGATATTAAACATTTGGAATCTTATTTTATCTCTTAGATATGCTCCCATAGTAATAAGAAGTGTAATGAAAGTGGTTTGAGGTCAATCGAATAAAAATACCAAAAGTTATAACATTTTCAATTTTTGGCACAACCTTTTACATGACTATGCACAATATGCTTGGTGAATTACACAACTGTGTAATTCATCAGTTCCCCCATTTATTGGTTGTTGTCCAAAAATGATATTATACTTTGGTGTTTTTGGCACTAACTCTTCATTAACCACTCCAAATTACTCTAATGGATGTAATAAGAGCTAGCAACATGTTTTTACTTAAGATTAACATCTCAATAACATCCTAAAGCTCAATTTGATCTTAACTAAATGATTAACTAGAAACTCTCAATTTAAGCTTCCAATTCCACTGAACTTGACCACATATATTGGACACTTTCATTGATTGTTATAAGTTTGACTGATTCACTTTCAAAAATAGATATAGCTTGCTAAATTTTTCTTTGGTTGCTTAGTTAATGATTTGATTCCAAATACTTCCGATATTAATCATTAAGTTCATTCTAAGTCTTAGAATTCACTTCAAAATCCATTAATGAGCAAATCGTCTAAAATAGTTGACTTAGCTTACATCAGTGTATTCCACATTGATGTATCTAAGTAAGATCTTATTGATACATTGTAAGCATCAATGGTTTTATTGATTTTTTTCAAAGTTTAAGTTCCACGTTGACATTATACACTGAAACACCTAAAAATTCAATTTGTCTTAACACCATTGTTAAGTAAATTATGACTTATAGATCTTATGTTTTGAGTTAAACGAACTACTTAATGAACTCAAAGTCAGATTCTAAGTATATATTAGCAATCAATCCAGTAACACCCAAAAAAAATTTCAAAGTTTAAAATGTTATGGTTTAAAAACATTCGGGTGTTTACCCACGTTTTGATGGGTTTTGAGCATTACAACATTCCTATGGTGCACATGCGACCCTATTTGCTTTGGATCTAGGTTTTTCTCAAGTTATACATGTAAATTAATTTTCCAAAGCAAAACCCTAATCTAGCATACAAGAAAACGAAATCTAATCATATTAGGGTTTAGAAGAATACCTTTCTTGTTGACAACTTAATCTTGACCTTCAAGAGCTTAGTGCCTCAAGCGTTGCACCTCTAATGGAGTCACAAACACCACTTAGCAAATAATGAACAAGAGAGAGGCGATGGAGGCTTCGTGAATTCGGCCAGGGTTCTCTAAGAATGCAAAGGGCCGAAAATCATAAGCCAAGGGTTCCTTATATAGCTGAGTTGCTAGGGTTTTAGGTGGAAACCCTAATTCTCTGCTTAGGCCTTAAGCAATCCATGGAAAATCCTTCTAGAAGGCCCCTTGGACGAAATATTCATGGGTTTCCCATAGATTTTGTCCACTCCTTCCTTTAGGAGTCCATCAGCCCAACTTGCAACTATCAATGATTTGCAATATCAGTCCCTTACTTTTAATCAGTCTCTTTTGATCACTAAATTAATTCTGAATTAATTTATGATCAAGACTAATTAAATAATATGATTTCTCAATTAATATATTATTCTTATAATATATTAATAAATCATTTATCAACCTCTTTCTCCATAATTCATCCTGTCAAGTTGCTATGGTGAAGGCAACCCAAAAGGACCATGCTACTATCAA